TACATTAAAAATACCATTTAACATTTAATTAAAACCAAATCAACTAATAAAAAATATACTACAAAAAATATAGTTGCATTAAATTTTGTTTAGAAAATTGAGAAAATTTTATATTTTAGAACAAAATAAAAAACCTAAAACATCTAATATTTTGGAACACGGGGAGTAATTCACTAACGAAGACATAATTATCAAATTTGGGCAACTTGATTCACCACCCAAATCTCCATACTCTGACTAAAGTACACTTGCATATATACATTGAAATCGATCCTCTAATATCGGAATTTAAAATTTTGATTTAATTCCTCTTACATATAGTGAGTTTTTAATGGAATGCTAATGGATTAAAAAATATTAAATAGTCTTAGAACCTCAAAAATAGATCGCTAATTTTAGTTTTTTAGAACTTAAAAAATTGGGTGGCTAATTTTTAACATTTATTATATAACAAAAAAATATTCAGCACCCCAACATTAACACCCACCATTGATCATGCTAGAGCATGTGCAATGCTAAGAGCATGTACAATGCATGCTCTTAATGCATGTTCTTAGTATTAATCTGATTAAATTTAATTGCACATGCTCTAAATCAAGTAAAACCTTATCTTATTTTAGATGATTTTATGAGTGTTCTTAATGGACATGTGTCAGCAGAACAAAAAAAAAACATAACGAAAAAAGCATAAACAAAAAAGCGTGAAATAAATTTTTACGTGTCTCTCTTCTCTCTCGCGTTTCGACTTTGAGACACAAATCTTCAAAGAATCGACGAAATCCAATGATTTTTCGTCTCGAATCATGACGGAATCGAGTCGTGGGTGGTCGATTTGGTTTGAAAGCATATCAAAATTATTGAAACAGGCGGATTTTGACTCTCTCGCTTCTTGAGTTCTTCGTCTCTTGTTGTGAATTAGAATGTTGTCGAGGATTTGTCACGCCATGTTTCTCCGTTGATTCCCAACCGAGATTTTTCCTGCGAGAAGGGTTTTCAACAGTAAAATTTACGAAGAAATTGATCCCCTAACTATGAATATACCTGAGCTAAATCAGGTGTGTTTGTTAATTTTTTGTTATTTAGACCCAAAACTTGATGCTAAGTGGAAAATCAGGAAGCTTGATTTTACGATTATTCTTTGATATAAATGCTTAAAAGTTCGATGCTTTCTCTATTGATTCATACGTCTTCTTTGGTGTTTCAGGAAATGCAATCGATCTTTGGAGAAGAACCCTCTACCGATGGATTTACCGGTCCTACGAAAACGGATTTCTCTGAATTGAAATCTCTGGAATCTACAAAACTTGAGAATCCTGAACTGAGATCCCATGTTGAGTATTCTCAAGCTAAAGAAATACCTGCAAAAGTGGCTTGTGATATATCTAATAAGCTAACGCATGTAGGGATCTCAGGGGAAGCTCAAATGGTGGATGTTTCTTCCAAAGACAATACTAAGAGAACCGCATTGGCTTGCTGTAAAGTTGTTCTCGGTAAAAGAGTTTTCGATTTGGTCTTAGCGAATCAAATGGGGAAAGGAGATGTTCTTGTAGTGGCAAAAATCGCTGGCATTAACGGAGCAAAACATACTAGCAGCTTGATACCATTGTGTCATAACATTGCTCTTACGCATGTTCGTGTAGACTTAAAATTAAACTCTGAGGATTTTAGTGTTGACATTGAAGGAGAAGTTTCTTGCACTGGTAAAACTGGAGTTGAGATGGAAGCTTTAACTGCTGTATCAGTTGCTGGCTTAACTGTTTACGATATGTGTAAGGCTTCTTCAAAAGATATCAGTATTACTGATGTGAGACTCGAACGTAAAACTGGTGGAAAGAGCGGGTATTGGTCTAGAGAAGAGTGACACAAAGATCATTTTGTATCCGTAACACAAACCCTTTAGCATTGCACATGCTCTAAATGCAAGTTTTCTGTTCTTAAGACATATTTTATTATTAATTTAGGATTATGATTGGTTAAGAACCAATTTTGTGTTCTTAAGTTTCAATGGTGGAATAATGTTTTGTGTTCTTAACAAAATTAAAAAATTAAAAATTAAAAATTTTGAAATAAATTTTATTTTAAATAAAAATATAGTTTACACGAAAACATTTAAACCATAGATTTTCAAATTATTAATGAAAAGGAACGGTGAATTCTAATCATGACGTTGACAATGTTGCCATACATGCTCAACCATCAAATGCTTACCCAAACTTTACAAAGATCTACTTCCACACAATCATGTTGCAAGCCCCAACCTTTACTTGACCGGTTGGTTCACTAATCGATTCTTTTCGAATACTGGTCCGGACCAGCCATGGTGGCTCTACGCGTAGTTCCAACCTTACCAACAATTAGAAATAGAGATCTCAAACATGGAGAAAAGAAACATAATTGATTAAAGGGTGAAATGTAAAAAGAGACAAGAAAGCAAAAGCCACTACAAGAAAGAAAGAAAAAAGGTCTTTATCTCTGTTAAGTGTTCATTCATCATTGCAAGGGTTGTGACATGAAACAATTTGCATACAAAAAGGTTTAAAACCTGATATGATGCATCGAATAAGCATTACCGGGTCCTGTACTTAGTGATAGCTATATATATATATACTAATTTACACATTATGTTAGTCTGATCCTTCTAATTGTGTTGCGATGATCTAGCTATATCATTATGCTTTCTTTAGACCCAAACTTAGACAGCATAGGCAACTTAGTGTAAGCAAGTAAAACAACCTAACTCTAGTGTCTTTCAAAGTGCATGTGTGAATTACGCATAATGACTCAAAAGCTTTTATATATACTGGATCACAACAAATTGATACAAGATAAAGAAATGCTAACCTCCATTGCTACGGATACAAAATGATCTTTGTGTTCACTCTTCTCTAGACCAATACTCGCTCTTTCCACCAGTTTTAGGCTCGAGTCTCACATCTGTAATACTGATATCTTTTGAAGCAGCTTTACACATATCGTAAACAGTTAAGCCAGCAATTGATACAGCAGTCAAAGCTTCCATCTCAACTCCGGTTTTACCAGTGCAAGAAGCTTCTCCTTCAATGTAAACACTAACATTCTCAGAGTTTAATCTTAAGTCTACACAATATGCGTAAGAGCAATGTTATGACACAATGGTATCAAGCTGCTGGTCTGTTTTGCTCCGTTAATGCCAGCGATTTTCGCCACTCCAAGAACATCTCCTTTCCCATTTGATTCGCTAAGACCAAATCGAAAACTCTTTTACCGAGAACAACTATACAGCAAGCCATTGCGGTTCTCTTCGTATTGTCTTTGGTAGAAACATCCACCATTTGAGTTTCCCCTGAGATCCCTACATGGGTTAGCTTATTAGACATATCACAAGCCACTTTTGCCGGTATTTCTTTAGCTTGAGAATACTCAACATGGGATCTAAGTTCAGGATTCTCAAGTTTGTAGATTCGAGAGATTTCAATTCAGAGAAATCCATTTTCGTAAGACCGGTAAATCCATCGGTAGAGGGTTCTTCTCCAAAGATCGATTGCATTTCCTGAAACACCAAAGAAGGTGTAATAGAGAAAGCATCAAACTTTTAAGCATTTATATCAGAGAATAATCGTAAAATCAAGCTTCCTAATTTTCTACTTAGCATCAAGTTTTGGTCTAAATAACAACTTTATCAAGGGACACGAACTCTAAACCCAACACGACTCATAATCGAAAATCCAGTAATTTAAGGAAATGATTGATGCAGCTAATTGCTGAAGCACACAAAACCCAAAAAATTAAGAAACACAGAGAGTGAGAAGATCTGATTTAGCTCAGATATATTCATAGTTAGGTGATCGATTTCTTCGTAGATTTTACTGCTAAAAACCCTTCTCGCCGGAGAAATCACGGTCGGAAATCGACAGAGAAACATGGCGTGACGAATCCTTGACAACATTCTAATTCACAACAAGAGACGAAGAACTCAAGAAGCGAGAGAGTCAAAATCTGCTTGTTTCAACAATTTTGATATGTTTCTTGATTTCGTCATGATTTGAGACGAAAAATCTGCTTGTTTATATACTATTTCTCTGTCCAATTTCAGAGTTTCTCTTCTTTGCTCTGTTTTTCCTTCTTTCCAAATTACTTTGCACAAAAAAAGAAAATAATCAAATAAGAACCGTAAAAAGGAAAATCAGTAATTAATGATTTCATAACCATTTTCTTAAGAAAATAATATTCCTCTGTCCCATTATATAAGATATTCTATTTAAAAGTGAAGAGTTTAAAAATTATTTAAA